GTGGCTGACAAGGATGTTGGAGAGGGACTCTTCATTAGGAACTCTAGTGGCAGGACAAGGGGTAATGGGTTTAAACTTAAACAGGGGAAGTTTATATTAGATCTAAGGAAGTAGCTCTTCACAGTGAGGGTGGTGAGGCACTGGAATGGGTTGCCCAAGGAAGTTGTGAGTGCTCCAACCCTGGCAGTGTCCAGGGCCAGGTTGGACAGAGCCTTCGGCAACATGGTTTAGTGTGTGGTGTCCGTGCTCATGGCAGGGGGGTTGGAACTAGATGATCTTAAGGTCCTTTCCAGCCCTAACTATTCTATGATTCTATGAATCTAGTTAAATATTCACTATTTGTACCAAGACTTTAAAATTTAGGAATGTCAGCATGTGTTGTTTTAAAACCTTTTGTGTTTTTTACATTATCAGTTCATAGACGCATTACTATTCACACTTAGCTGCTTAACTTACTACACTATATATTGTAGAACAACATCTTAGTACTAGGAAATTGTAAAATATAACCATGTCTTTGCTCAAACCCACTGGTTTGTAGTGGTCTTCATGGTTTTTTCTACTCTTTGTGAAGAGTTCCCTGGTTAGAAGTTGCATTAATGCTAAGAGGCAAGTTAAAATAAAGTAAAATTTTAATCTCATCATCTGTACTAGTACTTTTGTATATGGTATCACTGAAATATACAGCTGTCTTGTAATGTTTGTATAAACATATCCATACCCATCTTTTTTTTTTTTTCCCCTTTTCCCAGTTCTTTGGTGTTTTCTGTATTTTATTTATTTATTTTCTTTTGAGTTTTATTCAGATCTTACTGTTGCTAATACTGTAACAGTCTGGTCCTGCCATCATTAAAAGGTCAGCAGAGCTCAGGTTGATAATTAGAAAAACTTTTTTGACTTACTGTGTTGTCTGTCTTCAGAAAAGTAAATACGGTATTAAAATGTCGTAAGTTGATTCAGGTTTTATAGATTAAATTGTACATGCCCTTGCATTTCTCCCTTAGTTTGTATTTTTTCCTCATAGCCAAAACTACTTGAGTTTGTGCTGGGAATAAAGGGATAACAAGGATGTTCATAGTACTGAACTTTGACCATTTGAGGCAGATGCTAGTAGTAACCTTTGGAGGCATCTACCTTCCTCCACTGAATATATATTGGGCTGAATTTCTCAGTTGGTTGCCAAGATGGATTTTGAAGATATATATGTATATATACACACAACATGTAAAATAAATTTTTTTCATGTCTTCCACATGCATCTTTGTAAAATGAAAGTAGAAGAAAATACCATGCTATTAAAAACCAGAAAGTTACACAAGAGAGTCAGGATTTGTAGTGAATCATTTTGATCCTACAGAAACAGTTGTGCTCTTTAAATACTTTTGGGGCTCATGTTCTTGGTTTCTAGTCTGTCTTAGGTTCAACAGTGTCTGTGCATCTTCCTTATAAAGCTGTTACACAATAAACAAATTGTACCTTTCAGTTCTCTCTTCTATTTCAATAATACTGCTATATGGAAATAATGTTTTCAAAGACTAAAGTCAGTTGCCTATCAGTTAGGTAATGTGAGAATCAATGTCACCTGGCATTGTCAGCATTGACTGCTGAATTCATTAACTAACGATTGCTCTCCATCCCCTTACCGCCGTATTTTAAAATAAGTTGTTCATTTGCATCGGTGTTGGAAATTACACACACCAAACCTATTCAGCTTCTCTTCATAATGATGTTGGAATAATTTTAGTTCCTATGTGAAAGGTGAATCGTAATAATAATAATGAGATGCTTAATTTCTCAGCAGAAACCTTTTCACATTAACCTCTCAGTTTCACAAGCATAAATGTGAATTTATGGAATTTTATTTCATGAAATGCTATTATCCAAGAATAAGAATTCTGTCCTTGTTTTGGTATGGAGTTTTTCTTCTTCCCTAATCAACATCTGTCATCATCCCTCCAAGCTAAATGGATGGTAAAGTAACAAGGAAGATTATTCTTCTTTGATTACCCAATTTGTCTTAATTACAAGCTTCTAAAACATGTGCAGCTAAACAAATGAACAGAAAAATATTTAGAACTGATATTAAAAGCAGCTGAAATTGCTTCAGCTGTAAACTTGACTGACTTGTGTATGTTTTTTAATAAAGATTCAGGTCTGAGTTCGCATATAGGTGGTTAAAGAAATGAGGCACTTGTGTGCCAATCACACTGAAATGGCAGTTTAAATCTGTAATACTGTAACACTTGGGTGACATATACTAAAACATTTTGAGAAGGTCAGTATGAAGCAAGCAGTCAGCTGTTGGGTTTATCATAGATAAACTCCTGCAGAGCGCAGAAGCATTTAATACACCAGTGGAGCATGAAAAAACTGTGCAAATTAAATTGAGAAGCAGCTGCTTGTAGAAGATGCGTATCTTTATATTGAACTTTGGAGGGTACGTTTAGGAGGCTGTATTAAAACTTACTATCAAAAATCTCCAGCCAGAATCCTGGATTTTCGTAAAGAATAGTAATTGTGGGGATATGTAACTTCTGTTTGTACAAATTTGTTCTAAATAATACATCTTAAATCAGGGATAGAGTATAGAAAAGAAGCCCTACAGAATTCCTTTTGAAAACAAGTAGAATATGCTCATTTAAATGAGATATTTATTTTAGTAAATGCTTAATATATGCCAAAATACATATCTATGCACAGAAACATGCTTTTTTTGGTAGAAGAATATTTCATAAAGGTATGGTAGTGATTTAGGCCAAACTATTGCTAGTTCTAGATACAGTGTGGAAGGGCAGAGATGGTACCAGGTGCTCCATTGCTCCCCACAGGGTATCTTGTGCCTCCATTGCTTTTGTGGGGAGGCAGACAGAAGATACATTTTTCATATACTAACAGGAAGAATCTTACTTTTTTCATATAACATAGTATTGAGTTAAGGAGTTGTGCTAGCATGCAGGAGTGTTTATACTATAATAAAACCAGTGATGAGCTCTACTCCCCACAAGCAGCAAGAGGTTTGGCAGAACACTTGAGTATCTTGGCTTGTTCTCTGGCAGCTAGCATGCTGTCATATTTGTACCATGTTATTAAAAGACAAGATTGTAACTCATCTTTAAATTTTCTTTCACTCTTCCAGTAGTTACAATGCTACGACCAAACCATTTTGTGGATGCGGAGAACCTTGGTAAAAGCTGTAACGGCAAAGCAGTTCAGTTGTTACATGCAAATGTGTATTTGGGATATACATTATTCTCATTGTTCCAACTTTCTATGTTTTAAAGGGAATTTACCACTTAGCATCTCAATAACAATAGAGTAAAAACTTGCTTTTAAATACAGAAGTGAAAAGAGTTGTCTAGTGTGACACTATGTGTCAGTGTTGTGGCTTACGTTAGATTTGCTGAGAAATTTCGTAGAAACCATTAACTCACTTCACTCTGTAAGTAGTTTATTACTCGGGTTTTTCTATTATCCAGTTATTAACCTGGATTTTTTTTTTTTTTTTTTGAATATGGTAAACGACTAGTCTATCTACCAATATCGTACACTGCAAGATCATTGTTTTCTTTTGTAAAGACTTGAATGTATTTGTGTTTTTGACCTTGCTACTGAACTTTTGATATCTTGCTTTTTTGGAATTTCTGTTTGGACATGAGTCATATATATTAACATGAAATGTAATCATTCTGAATGTGATAAATTCCAGATTTGTTGGTCTAAGGACTGCTGATCAGAAAAGTGCTGATTTGGGAAACATAGGAAATCAGGGTTACATGTAGCTCTTGATTAGTGTAAGCATCAGCTTTAGTATTTCTCTAAACTGTAGGTAGCCAGTTAATAACAGGTTAATAAAAACATGCTGTTTAAGTGCAGCTAAAACCCAGGTCTTACCACTCTCCCAATTGAATTTTTTCTTTAATTCACACACAAAACAAAGGGGAGGGAGAAGAGATAGTCTAAACAGTGGTAGAAGAATGGGGGGAAAAAAAGCACAGCAGGTGTGTGCTGACCCCCTGGTATTTAAGGAGATTGGAAAATTGCAGTATTTGAGTAATGAAAGAGCCAAGGGAAGAAATGTTTCTGGCATCATTGTGAGTAATCTTGGATTCTGGCAATAGATTCTGTGATTCTGTTAGAAGAGAAATTTTAGTCTTCACCAGCGATACATTTACTGTTACAGATTAAAGACAGGAAAGATCATTAGGTGCTGAATTAACATACTTTCTAAGGGTCAAACACAGGATATTTCAGCTCAGTTACATCTGAAGTGTCTAGTTGTATCCCACGTCATCTGCGAGTTCATAGGTTCAAAGTGGTAGTTATAAAGCTCTGCAATTGTAAGGCTGCGTTCATGCCTATTTTAAGATGACAGAAAGTAGCAATCTTAATCTTCTGTCTATGACAGTTTGCTCCCACCTAGTGATTTATCAAGGGGTAGCAAATAGTTTCTGGAATTTTGGTAAAACATTTTGGGGAGGAACACTTGGGGTTTTGGGGTAGTTTCTTTCAGTTCATTTGAGTCGTGCATGCTGTGTTTGAGTTTGTCACTAACTGACGGTTTGTGACAATGAGTGTTGGATCTTTTAGAAGGTGTTTGTTACAAAAGAAGGTAACGTCTTCTGCTGCAAGGCTGCCTTTTGGTAATTGAGAGTTTCAGGAGATTACGAAGATGTTTGTCAAAGGCAGACTTGAGGCTGAAACCTTTACCATTGTGTTGTATTTGATTACTGGACACTGAGGTCCAGATTCATGCTATTTCATTTTATGCCACTCAGGGCTGAAGATTTAGACCTATTACCCTTGAATTTGTTTATGGCCAGTGAAGAAGAGTACAGCTGGATGTGTTTCTAGGTGGCCTGATCTAGTTCAAGATGTCCCTCCTCATTGCAGGGGGGTTGGACTAGCAGACCTTTGAAGGTCCCTTCCAACCCAAACTATTCTATAATTCTGTACTAGAGGTGTAACTGTAACAGTGCAGTCTGTGTTGTAGGTACTTCATAGCTATATGCCTAGACCTCATTGTTGCTGTGACTACTTGTATAATTTTGTGCCTCCCCTTCCAAGCTCCGCCCCCATCGTGAAATTATCTGTCTGCCTTAGCTTTATAAGTAATATTTAAATCTTTATATATGTTTCATGTCATATGAAAAGTGATGTGGAGCCCCATAAGAGAGCCGTCAGAATAGAAAGGTAATGGTAGCCCAGCCATTGATCCAGATAGGCAGAGCAATCCCAGTGGCTTTGAAAAGCCTTACTCTGTAGTTAAGTGTGTGAGCTGATGAATTCCAAATATGCGTTTTCTCTCTGCTTCTGTAATGTACTTTCCTTCAAGTACACTTCTTCTAGCATCCTTAACATTTACAAGGCACTTTGAAATCTGCAAATGGTGAGTACAATATAGGATCGAAAGGTTCATAACAGTAACCTAATTTTATCTGTTGTTTTAGGTGGGTCCATATTGTCTGTGCCCTCTATGTTCCAGGAGTGGCATTTGGAGATATCGACAAACTGCGGCCAGTAACGCTTACAGAAATGAATTATTCAAAGTATGGTGCCAAGGTAAATTTAGAAGAGATGTTCTGCCAACAAGTAGCTTTATTTTACATTTTGACATGTAATAGAACAACATACATCTTCTCAATTTTGTTTTTCCTGTTTATAGTCATCACAGTAATGTTCAGGACTAAAAATGCGATGAAGTTTGTTTGTGGTTGTTATACCATTGCTCATACCATCGCTTTTTCTTTCTATTTTCCTTACGACTTTTCTTCATAATTTCTGTCCTTGTTTTCACCCTAATTTCCCTTATTTTTTATGCAGGTGGTAATTACTTTCTTTTTAAAGTCAGTTAGTGGCAGATTGTCAAAATGTGGATGTAAATTGAAGAGGATTTATGGCATGTGAAATAGAGAAATGGAAGATTAGGTTGATTAAGAAAGTGACAGATGTACATTCAGTAAGAATTGCTTTAGGGTCTATATAATTATGGTCTGGAGTGTATATAAAAAAAGTTGCTGCAAAGCAATATTTAAAAAAAATCCACAACAACATGGGGCCCTCAGTTTGAACAAAAAAATGGCTCTAAAATTAAGATGGGTTTACATGTAAATGTTTTCAATCCAGATAGAAAGTGATTGTGCAGAAACAATACAGAAAAACATTGCAATGGACAGAGGGCAGTACTCTGTAATTTCGGTCATCCAGAGCACAGCTCTTTGCTTGTTTGTCCTCTGAACTTGTTGAACAATTGAACGCTTGCTGAGCAGCTGTGTTGGTTTATGATACCGTACTTATGTAATTAATTGTGTGTAAATTGCCTGGGAGGGATTTAGTTGTTGCTCTGAAGGGAAATACAAGACATGAAAGCTCATATAAAAATTCATCCAACATGCTCTTTAGGTTGTTTGAGCACTTTTCTGTTGCTTGTTGAATGTAAAATCAATCGTGGAGGTTGGGAAGGGGTGAAATCTTAAGTAGTGTCAACTGTCGGCAGCATAATTGGTTTCTGTACCATATAGGAGTAAACAGACCTGATCGGGTTTTATGTAAGATGTAAATTATTAAATATTAGTCAAAATGTGCCTGAAATACTTACTGTGGTGTGTTCCACTCTTCTGTATAAGGAATGCAGTTTTTGTGAAGATCCTCGTTTTGCCAGAACTGGTGTATGCATCAGTTGCGATGCTGGGATGTGCAGAGCTTATTTCCACGTGACCTGTGCTCAGAAGGAAGGCCTCCTGTCAGAAGCAGCAGCAGAAGAGGTACCTATGAAAAGGATAGAGTAAAAAAGTTGTATCAAAAGCTTGTGGAGGTGACCTGCAGTTCTGCTCCTGTTGCTCACTAACCCTGAGCAAAGTTTTTGTAAATCGGCACCAAGACATAGGCCGAGTAACAGGACAGTCCAGGGCTCCTTGCTCATCAGATTGTCCAACTCTGAGAACCTTTTGAAATGGTCTGGAAAAAGGGATAGAGAAGGTTGACAGGGAAGTTCGCTTAATAGACTGTCAGTCAATACAGATGTGAATTCTAACTTTAATTCTTGAACTTCACCTAGGTTGACATACTTACTTACCTGATTATGTAGTATAGTAATCTCAGTTTCATACCAAATAGGACTGTCTTCAGAAATTAACTACGTTTCCAGTGTCATTTTTTCATGCATGTTTTCCAGTGTTCTTCAAACTCCAGTACAGGTATATGACTTTCCTTGTGGTAACATTAATCTTAGCAATCAGAATGAAATGCAAACGTTTGTAACCTGCAGATTAATTTTTAATGTCTGTTCTTACCAGTTTTCTCCCTGTAATATCATTAAAGCAATTAAGATCTGAAGCTTCTACTTCCAAATTCATTTTTATGGTATAAGTACTTCTGAGTTGCCAAATTTCATTCTGATATGTATCATTTGAATTAAGCCTGTTATGTTTGTAGCTGCACAATTTACCTTCTTAATGCCTTAGAAAGTACTACAGGTAGCACACAAACAAGCATTACTTGCGCTATTGATACTGACACTTTTGTTTCTGAAAACAGTGGACCATGAAGTGGCTCTGAAAGGATTCACAAAATACTTTCTTCTGTGAGACTGAGAATAGGAAGATAGCAAAATAGCCTCGTTGTTCCTGATAAATTATGTACAGTGTTGATTCTTCAGATGCTCTGTGTGAATTTCTTCTAGGCATGTGCAATTACTTGCCTTTCCACCTTAGTATTTTGTTACATGTTTTGGTTATATGTTTTCTGTATACCAAAGGAACAGGTTATAGGCCTTACACAGTCTAGTTTTAGGGTGCTGCTAATTTTTGAAAGTTGCCACACTGAAAATCTAAATCAAAATAAAATATGTTTGTAAGGAAAGCTTTCTTGGGTTTCATTGGTTAGTGTTTTATAGATGGAGTAAAGGAAAATATAAGCATTATTTATTAATATTTTATTACTTTATGAAGACTGCTTTAAGTTTTACTTCTTAGTTCGTAAATTTATGATAATGTTTCTACACTTTTGAAAATACACTGTCAATGAAATAGACTTCTCAAACCACAGTTGCATGTGGCTCAGATATTTCTAGTCTGCTAGCAACGTTTGCAAGTGCTACAAGTTATTACAAGCTTGCAGGCATGATAATGTGCAGATCTGATGGAGAATGAAGAAACACAAAAAAACCCAAACATCTGAGATGTGATAAATCATGTGGGGGTATAGCCACGAAAAACATTTGGAAAATTGCTTAAGAAAACCAAATATATTACCTTTTGTATTATGCAGAATTGTAAACCCCTTGTAGGTTATAATGCAAAAGGCACAGGGAAGCAACAGGAAATTAACAATGCATGTTATATGTTAAAGGGATTTGTACTTAGGAATTTCTTCTGCTGTTTTTTTTCTGAGAAAATAGTACAGAGATTGCATAGTAGATAGTTAAGTAGTTAATGGATTTAAAAACACTGAGAGTCACACAATGAAAACAGTGAAAAAACACTTTATTTGGTAAATTCCATCAGCATTACAAAATTGATTTAGAAAGATATGTATTAGTTGTTTTTAAAAACATGTCTGTTTCAACATGTGAACTGATTGCCACTATGTTTATGCTTTAAGAGACTTTTAGCAATGTATGTCTTACTTTATTTTTGTTCCTTCCCCTTTGTTTTCTCTGAAACAGGATATAGCTGACCCTTTTTTTGCTTATTGTAAACAGCATGCGGACAGGTTAGACAGGAAATGGAAGCGGAAGAACTACTTGGCATTACAATCTTACTGTAAAATGTCCTTGCAGGAAAGAGAAAAACAGCTCTCGCCAGAAGCTCAGGTACTGTATTCATGACACAAGTGCATCTCTCTTAATCATCCATGTTAAACAAGAAAGAAATGAAGAGGATTGGACATTTTTATTGTAATAGGAAATTAAATCTGAAGTATGTTGATAGTGCTTGGTCGTTAAACAAAGCAGTAAATGATTTGTATGTTCTCTAAGAACAAGTCTCAATAAAATAATTATCAAAAAGAGATATTTATACTTGTCTGAATTGAAAAATCTTACTCTGTTTTCGTTTTGTGGCAAAAAGCTGGTAATGACATTTTCATTGTAGTTAATAGATTTTGTTCTTAACAAATAAAGACAGCCAGACAAGAAATGAGGAATATTTCTACATCCAAGTTCAGTAAAATCCACTTTTTTCCTTAGTAATACCTTGAATTTTTCAGAAGAGTTTAGCTTGCCTAAAGTTTTTTCTTGTTAGATCCTGGTTCACGTTTTGTAGGCCTAAGTAGAATTCTGTATGCTGGGGTTTTTCATAGTAAAGATTGCCTAGAAAAAAAAATTACGATGGTAGAGAAACTAAGTCTGTGCTGCTGAGTGGAAGTTTCCTGAAAATCTTAGGCAATGTCTATATTCCTGTCTAGTGGCAGATTCACATAGAAGTGTTAGTTACTGCATAAGCTCAACTGATAACTGTCTTCTTGTAAATGTTTCAATCCTTTTGATGGAATTTGTGCACTTTGATATGTTTTAATGTGTGTATTTCTGATTCTGAGGTATTTATGGCACACTTTGCTTTCGCTGCTTAGGCTGAACTGCATTCTGTGGAAAAAATCATATGTATGTAGAAAAGCAGCTTGCTACTTGAATGAATCCTGCCTAATTTGTTGTAGAAAGTAGCAGATGCTGCAAATAATGAAAGGCAGTTAAGGGAGAACTGTAGTGAAATGATCAGAAAATAAGTCTCCGTATCATCAAATTCTTAATTAAAAAAAACGAAAACCCTTTTCTACCTAGTTCTTCAAAGATCTTTGAATAGGAGAAGAGAATATTAATTTAAACTGACCTGTGCAGCTGAGAATGAATATAAGCAAACTGTATTGTAGAAGAATTTTGAATAAAATATTTCTATGAGGTATTGAGGTTTGTATAGCTTGATTTAAAACTGGTTACATAATTTTTGCTGAATACACTCGCCTCTCAATTAGGTGAAATGCACCAATGTAGTGGACATATCACAATAATATGAATACTACCCAACATAATGGTAAGTGCTGGTTGTGCAAAATCAGTTTGGATTCAACAGGGCTTATTAGCACTGTTTTCAGGCATTTGTTATTTAGCACTGAGAATGGTTAGAAGTTCCCAGTATTTTCCCCTTTTCCTCTTCTTTGCCCTGAAACCATGACCGTGCAGGTTTTTTTAATCTAAATTACTTGGATTAAATGTTTTGAAACTGAAAGAATGCATGCCGAAAACTGCAGGTGGAGTTACTTGACACGGTGTAGGCACCTTCACGCAAATTTCGTAACTTGCATACATTTTGTAAAACCACTTGATTTCACTATGGCTCTGGTGGTGTATGAGTCTGTATTAGTATTGTGTGCGTGTCTGAGTTTACATGGATGGAAACAAATTGAATGCTTCAAAAGTCCATTTCCATGTCCAGTTGTATGTATGGGATTTTATGAAGTAAGTAATTGTCTTTGAGTGGTTTCTGTGCCTTTTTAGCAATGTAGGACTGTAAGGGGTAGTTACTTACTAGAAGCGTCTGGCTAGGGAGTAGACACAAAGTATGTGTAAGTTCACCCCTTACCATATGTTGTCTACATGAGGAAGTTAATATCCCACCAATGAATTCAACCATCTTTGTTAAATAACGATTTTGTCTGAGAAATAAGGATCTTGAGACAGCTTAGTCTGGAAAAGAACATTAAGAAGTAAATATATATTTCTCTGTATATATCTAGTGTGTATGTATATATGTATGTACATACAAAAGCTCACTTCCAGGGGTGTTTGTAGGTTAAGTAAGGTTTACAAACATTGAATTAACATAAGCAAGTATGCAGTTTTACAAATAATATATCTGGTATTGTGAAAGTGGCATTTTGAGGCACAATTTTGAAGGAGAAAAAAAATGACTGTTTGATACTTTGTAACCCAGGCAGGAATAACTGAGCCAATGATATGGCAAGTCATGTGGCCCAAGAAAGTAAATCCATCTAAAGAGTATAATACACAAAGCTGTCTAGGACTTTTGATTGTTGGAAGATGTTCTACGCTGAAATACTTTCTTGATATAAAGATGTACATTCCTTGAGTAAAGCATATTCTTGAAAATCGTTTAAATCCAAGTGACTTGAGTTCAGGATTCGATTTAGACATTAGTCATTTTAATCTGTCCTCTATTTCTGGAGAAAGGCTCAGTATGACAACTTAAATGACCTCAAGTATTTCAGAACTGAGCATGTATTGAGTATAGAAGTGTCTTAGCTGAGAAAGCTATAAACCATCCTTGGTCCTTCCAGTGGTGAATAAAACTAGGCAGTGGCTGTAGGTGGGTCTGTTGCTTGCTGCTGTAGGTCCAAGAAGAAAGCCCTTGGGGTCAGAGCTGGCCTGCAGTCCACATCTGCCATGTTTCTTGGTCATTGATGTTCAAGACCTAGTAAGGTAATGTTTGTTAAGTTGTGTATAGTATTACCTTCAACGTTTCTATTTGTAATCAGAAATGTTCCTTAACATATATGCACACATTTTAGTGTTTATCTCAGGAGTATCTCATACCATATGGTGAAGCAGTCAGATTAGTTTAGTTTCTTCTTTCTGCAGGCAAGTAAACAACTTCTACCTGATAGTCAGCTGGAGTTCTGCCTATGAAGGTTTGTATGTTGATGTCATTTTCTGCCAGAATTGCCACTGCATAGAGTTCCCACAAGACAGTGTTTTCCATCTGTCAGTAACAACTTGATCTTCCGGTGTAGATCTCGCAGATGGTCACAAATATACAGATGTCATCAACAATATATGTTGTGAGCTGCTTTTGCCTACTTCACTTGTGTTTGGGCTGTGGTTTTGGCACATTATAATCAACTAGTTTAACATTTATAATGAGATATGGCATTTAGAAAGGAGTTCCTACAGAAGGATGTCAAATAGGGCAAAAATGCTCTTCATCAACTTTTATTGCTCACATAGATACCAATTTAAAGTGTATCTAAATGTGTTTTTGATAGGTCAGCCAAGGCTTTTCCAAATACTGAGTTTTCACAGTCCTGTCAAATTATCATTATTAGACTGGATTGTCTGAAAGCCAGCAGTCATTTGTGTTACTTTCATTGGTGGGGAAATCTCATCAAAAAACCTGTGCCTAGCTCCAAAACCTAGTGAAAGGATAATGTTACCGATACACGCATTTTGAAGTAAAGTCTAATGTCTGTATCGGTGGCTGTTTCTTGAAACAGAGTTCTGGAATGAAAATAGCATTAATTATATCTTGTGGCTTTTAAAATGAAAGTAAAATATGGATGTGATCCAAGAGGATACAACTCAAAACCGGTTTTGAATTGTTCCCTTATGTTTTTAATTTATGGAATTCTTTATTGCAGGCTCGCATTAATGCCAGGCTACAGCAGTATCGTGCCAAAGCAGAGCTGGCCCGCACCACCAGGCCTCAGGCCTGGGTTCCCAGGGAGAAGCTACCACGACCACTTACTAGCAGTGCTTCAGCCATACGTAAGCTTATGCGCAAAGCTGAATTAATGGGAATTAGTACAGACATTTTTCCAGTGGATACTTCGGATACCAGTTCCAGTGTTGATGGAAGAAGAAAACATAAACAACCAGCTCTCACTGCTGATTTTGTGAATTATTACCTTGGTAAGGATCAAAATTTTGTTTGGTTTTTTTTTCACTGAAGAATTATCATTTTGCTGTATTTGTACTGTACTAATTCATTGCTTTTTTATTTTCGTTCTATTTCCTTGTTATTAATAGATAAATATGAATTATAGCTTCATTTTAGGTCAGGTATATTATTGGTTAGTATCTCTATTTACACAAAGTTATCTTTTAAAAAAGACATTTCAGAAAAGAAGAGAATCTTTCAAAAGTAAACAGGAAGCTAAACTGTCTTTGCTAAGAAGGGAGTGGAAACATAGCTACCTTTTGGTATAATTTAGTACAATTTATGGAGCAAAATGTAAATGTTATGACTGTTCATTCTACTCAGTCTGTGTAATAAACCTATAGGCTATAGTTTTGTGTTGTTATGGTTTTATGCTTTTCATTGCTTCACTTTTTTCAGTGCTTCATATATCCAAGGATAGGAAATAATTCAGTTTTCTTTTAAATAGAGAGAAACATGCGCATGATTCAAATCCAGGAGAATATGGCTGAACAGAAGAATATCAAGGATAAATTAGAAAATGAGCAAGAAAAGCTTCATGTGGAGTATAATAAGGTGAAAAAAAAGGGATTATAAACCATTATACTGTTTTAGTATTGCTGCTGTTAACTTTGATTGCATTTTGCTTTCCAGAGAAAATGACTTTAAAAAGATACAAACTATTCTTACTTTAAAAGTAATATTTTCAAATATTATCTTCTTGTAAAAATATTCTGTAGTCTGTTTCTGCTATACAAGTAGAATCAAATTCTAAAGTTTCACATGTTGGCTGGGCACAAGTTCTTTTAACTGACCCCGCTGGGAGCTCCAGTAACAAACTGGACATGGACAAACAGATCTCTCTCATGAGTGAACTGTATCTTAAGGCCCTTCTTTTTTTTTCATTCTTTGTATGTATTTCATTTGAGACTTTGAGACAACAGAGATTGATTTGTTTTGTTTGTGTGTAGTTCTAGGTTATTTTTGAACCTGCTTGGTTCTCTGCTTGGAATCCTACTTGATAATTGGGAATCTAGGATTGTCAGAGTGCTATTTATTTAATTATGTCAACTACAACTCATCCGACATTTAATGACTTGGCTATTTTTTCAGGCTGAAATAATCAGTATTCACAGAACTATCATGTCCTCTGCATATTTTGTTTAAGTATAGGCATTGCTCACCCCAAATGTTACTAATACATTTTTTTATTAACTCATCATCATGCTTAAAAAAGCATTTTGTGTTTTCATTGCATTTTTACTAAATGATTATTTATTGTTTTTAATCTTTGGATATTTTGAAATAGAACATAGAAATACTGTATCTTTTGTGACAGGTGACATGCTGCAATTCTTGCTGAATTGAGCAACCTATCAAGTGGCGGTTAGTGATGACAAAAAATAGTGTTGCTATTAATTGTTAAACTGTTGAGTATGTGTTTTAAGTGAGAATATATGGAAATGAAGCAGCAGGTCCTTGTGAGCTGCCCAAAGATGATAAAGGAGAAGGAGATCATGTATGAGGCTGTTAGCTAACTTAGTAGGTTGTATATGCTGGATGGTAATTAAAAGTTGCTTCCAGAAGAAAAAAAAACAACTTTTTTTTGCTTGAATCCTTTTATAAATTATATCTCTTTCTATGAGAGTGAATGTTCTTTGGTATAGAAATACAGAGCTTGAATTCATTTATATGGTTGCTTGTTACAGTCTTGTTGCTAAAGTAGTATTGACAATGCATACAAGATGTTGCTGTATTTTAGTTTTGCTTTCTAATTGACTTTATGAAACCTTATTTTCATGTTGAAATGCTTCAGATCTTTACAAAACAGGTGGCTGTCCAGGTTTTCATCTTAGTTCTTTTGAATTGCTGAAAGATTGCACTGGTCTCAGCTATACTGAAATGAGTTCCATTGTTTTTTTTAATCCCAAAGTAAAGTAATACACCCTAGATAGGTAAGAGGTTGAATAAAATTTATTAACTAGCTCCTAGTGGATTTTCATTCCTATTGATATTTTTTCCTTTAAATTTTTAGCTGTGTGAGTCCTTGGAAGAGCTACAAAATATGAATGGAAAGCTGCGAAATGAAGGGCAAGGCATTTGGGCTCTGCTGGGTAGAATTATTGGACAGGTTGGTGTTTGGGATTTTTTCCCCCACCTCTTTATAGTTCATACACAGACCTGGTTTTCCAAGAATAGGTCTTTTTGTTTCTGTCTGTTATTTCTATGGCCAAATTAATTGATTTGATCAGGCTTTACTTTTGGGATAATATTTCCTGATTGAAATATCTGGACTTCTGCAAACAACCTACTGGGGACCTGTAACTTAATTTTTTTGTTGTAAAAGCGATCTTGTTTGCAAAATTCTTTCATTTGGTATAAGTGATTGACCTGTCATTTGTGATGAACCTTAATGTGAAGCGTGAGTTAATCCTACCATTTTTGTCTCCACATTGTCTTTAGTTATTGTAGGCTTCAAATAATGTAATAACTTTTGATGTTTTCTATAAGTCTTTAAAACTGTAGTACGTGTGTGGTGGTTTTTAAATGAACAGCGCAGAATATTTCTGTGGTGAATATAAATATCCAGGAGATGTGGATTACTTCCTCTTGCCAGCAGTTATCTTTGTTCTCATTGATATGCGGAAAAAAGAAGTGTAGATTCTTGCTCTATTTTGATATGTTTTATGTCAAAAGTATTAAATGGACATTTTAGATATCAGTGAGAGATTAAAATTATTTCCAATTATGATTTTAAGGAAGGTTAAAGAAACTTTGCATTGTGAAAATGCAAATATACAATTAAGTCACAGTTTTGTTGTGCTCCTTGGTACTATCAAATTTGTGCTGCTCTTGAGAAAATGAAGCTTACTCTTTCTTTATGCAGTCATAGTTCTTAAGGAATGCTAGCTTTTTCTAATTCTGTTTGCCCTCTTGGCTTTTCTACTTGTAAAGAAGGATTCTCACATAACATATCTCTTGAATCAAGATTATTTTTTTCCCTCCTTTTTAAGATGGCTTTAAGTAAGTATTCAGAAATATGTCCTGCTGCAAATGTTACTAAATTAAAAAAAAAAAAAATGAAGAGAAGTTGAGTAGAATTCATTTACACAGCTTGCAAGACATTTTTTTTCCAGTTGGTTGAACAGATGCAGACCCATGGGGCTGCTGTGAAATGACTTTGATAGATGGTTGCTGTCTGAGAAGCTGGTATACTGCAGATTAGTAGAAACCCAAAGAGAATCTCGTCTGCTTTGTGGGGGGATTGGTCCAATAAGATAATTTTTCTAATTAACCTATCGAGCACAAGGGTAGCAAGGATGTTGGGGAAAATAAACTGCCTCAGTATTCTTCTGTCATTTTGTGAATTTGCCTTTGCTTGTTTCAGCTAACCAGGAAAATGCATCCTTGTCCATCCGTCTATTTGAAGCTTGAATTAAAAATTTAAAAGCTAGTGTTTCAATATGGAGTTTATTTATTGAATTGAGAAAATAAGTATATTACTTTATATTTCACAAGCATACTGCGGTAAACATCTGTAGTTCCCTCTTGTCTGTAAAATAGCTAGCTAAGCAATTTCCTACTCATAATTTGATTCTTGTTCTTCATGCACTGAGATTGTATTGTCTCAAGACTCATGTGTACTGCATTTGTTCAAATCCAACAGAAACTGAACATACCAGCAATTTTACGTGCTCCTAAGGAAAGGAAACCAAGTAAAAAGGAAGGAGGAACACAAAAGACATCTACGCTTCCAGCCGTGCTTTATAGGCAAGTAATGAAGTCTTGACAGAATATATACAATATCTAGTAAGTCGTAGTTTCACGAAAGTGCTGAGAAAATTGTTTATTTCAGTTTAGATTAACAGAATGCATCAGTGGTCTATATGTTTTACTTACTTCTGAAGGCTAAGTTGAATAGTAGTCAGTTCTTCACCTTAGCACACATCAGTAAGGCCTGGAGGGTTTTTGCTAATTTGACAGCAGCACTTTAAGGACAAAGGTAACTCTTTACAGCTGAAATAAAGGGTCCTTTGTCTCTGTTGATGTGAAAACTTTTAATTGGTCATCTTTTCTTTTGAATGCAATCATCTGTGAAGATTTTTGCAGACAGTGCTGCTGAGATTTAGTCACAGTGGCTGGGTGCGTAAAACACTTGTCATATCATATAAGAAATTTTACTTTTTACTCATGGGTTGTCAAATACTTTGGGATATTTTATGTGGTTTAAATTTCCCTCCTTGCATTTCTATTATTTCCCAAGAAAAAAAAATGTATTTGGTTATTCTGTCATTGTTCCCCCTTTCCCCCTCTCCTGTAAGTTGTGAAGCTACTGACTGGGTTTTAAGTAGGCCTAACAGTGGAACATACACTAGGATCCCAGAGCAAGACTGTGCAAAGGATACATGTCATCTGGGATCTTTTACTCCTGCCACCAGTTGAGAAGTGGCATGGTCTTTTGCTTATCCAGAGGGCCTTCACCCACAGATACAGTGGGCAATATCTTGCCCAGCTACGAGGCTAAATGAAGAAAATGGGTTAAAGAGGGAAGATTAGTTCTAGTGCTGTGAGAGGTGGAAATCCTGAGAACATGGCAGTAGGCTGAGGATTTGGCAATTTAGATGTATACATAAACAAATAGTAGAAGTCATGCTTTACTAGTTCTCTTTTGTTCAAATCCACTCATTTAGTTCCTCCCATTTTATAATGGAATCAATGAACACCTGTTCTTCTTGAATAACTAAAATTTCAATTCCAGTAGAAAAATGTTGATAATAAAAACGAAATGCAATTTTGTATGAGTTGATACGTTGCCCAGCATAATAGCAGCACAGGCCTATTTCAGGGTGCTTGCATTATTAAAATAAGCATATGATTGTTAAGACTGGTAATAGCAGCATAATTTTCCATTAAAGTGTTTGGATGGCACAGGTAGCATTTTTTCCATTTGCCATTTGGTACATTTTACTGAAGTATCACGTGATTACTTGCTGGTTAGAAGTCCTCAAAAACTTAGATTGAAAGCCATTTTATTGATAAGTTAACTATATTAGGTGATTGTATGCTTTACTATACGCAGGTAGAAGCTTCTTAAAAAGTAATTATGCACTTAATTGGTGCATTAAAATTGAAGTTGCCGTGTTTGTATTGAAACTGTGGAATGTGCTGAGATGTCTCATTTTTTTATGATATCAAGTGTAATTATAATGCTTTTCTGCTACCTACATTAAAAGTTGTGGAATTTGCAAGAAGAATCATGATCAACACCTACTGCTACTGTGTGATACTTGTAAACTCCATTATCATCTGGGTTGCCTGGATCCACCTCTTACAAGGATGCCAAGGAAGACCAAGAATAGCTATTGGTAAGAATGCAGTTGGCGGTAGTTCTGTTATCTCTGTACTTAACGTAGGACATAAATGTGAATAGATTTGCAAATTCTCAGTGTTTTAGACAGTGCTATAATGCAGTTTGAACTGAGTTATTTTATTTTCAGGTTATTAGCAGTGATATTTCAAGGTATTAAAAAAAAAAAAAAGGTTCTAAAGATTTTCTTAGCCACTGTGGAGAAATAGAATTTAGCTCTAATTTTCTTAGGTTTTGAGTTCATTTGTGATTATTAATGCTGCTATATAGTAATGGTAGGAAATTATAGGCTGCTTTCAGGAAATGAAAGGCTTGGTCTTCTGTTTATTTTAGGATGCAGATATCCAAGTCTCTGTCCAGATCTTTAAGATAATACCATAAATACTTAAAAATACCACTTGTAAGTAGTCGATCAGTTTATTGTAATATGGGGAATCATTTGGATTTACTTCTGTCTTATGACTCAAATCTGCAATGCCAGAAACTTACTTTTAACTGTCCTTGCTGCAGTTACATTTCCATGCATTAAAAATTTTATTTTGTACCACTGGAGCAGAATGAAAGCTAAGTGGTAAATGGAGAACTGATAATACGGCAAAGGTGCTGGTTTCCAAACTGTCATAAAAATAGTGTGCTTCTCTATTGTGTTAGCATTCTGTATGTTTCTAAACTGCTCTGAAAGCAGTTACTTAGAAGCAGCTTTTGTCTGGCAAGAAGTTCGTGTACAGCTTCTCTAGGAATCACCGTTGCCTTGTATGAACATTAACGTACCAAATCAGAATGGTGTAAGAATTCTTTCTAAAATGCAGTAAAACTTTTTTCATCAGGAAAACGTCTTTTCTATCTTCCTTCATGTTTTTTTTAATCTATTTTTGTTTTAATTTTAAACTTCCACATAACATTTACTTAAGTCATCTTTCTGTGTAGTTTTAATGATTGTGAGCAGAGCAAGATGGTGGGTACATTAAATGGGAGGTGTCTCATTTTTTTTAATACCTTAACATGACGAAACCTGGATTTACCCCAATAATTTTGAAAATAAATTTTAAAGGAAATATTGATAGAGATCACCATTACTAATATTTTTCTGAACTTAATTTTCCTTTAATGACTTAATGCAGTCTGTGATTTTGGACTTCTCATTATTTAAAGGGCATTCTGAGCTCTTTGGTTAAATTTAATGTTACATGGAGACATTTTTTAAACTTTTTTTTAGGAGTTTCTGCATTTGCCAGGAGGTTCTTGATTTTTTTTTTGTTCTGCCTTTTAACCAAGTTGAAAAGGCTCACAAAAAGCCATCAGTCCAAAAGATGTAAGGCTACAATTCTCAGTAGGTGTTATAGCCAGAACAGGTCAGGTTAAGTAGTAAAACGCTTTCATTTCAAAGCTATAACTTATCTTTGTTATGAATTTCATGCTTCAATTATACCTTAGATCACAAACTTAGCTTTTACTTTTAATTAGCTAAAGCATATTCTGAAATGTGAGATTATAGCAGACAAATTGAGCTGTATTGATTGCATTCTTTTCATCATTGAACATGCCCTTTTGCATTCTTTTTGGGATCAGTAGAGAGCATATAGAATGGACCCTTTAATCTGAGTTTGATTTCAGCAGGTTTCCCCCCCTGCTGTTTTGAATACAATTTTAATCTTTTGATTAAGCTATGAAAAAGTATGGGGTTCTTTTGGTTTTTGTTTTTTTTTTTTTTTTTTTTTAAATATGGGGCCTATGTACTTTTCAGGTATTTGTATAGGATATAATGGGAACTTATGCAAAAAGATAAAGTAAGAAAATGGGTAGAGCAAGAAATTCCTTGAAATGTTAGGCAGGTTGAAAGACTTTGAATACAGTGATTAAAAGTGTTGACTTTAGTCCTCTTTTAAAATAGTATGCAGGAAGCAGTTAAAAATAAATGTTTGTTAATTTTTTATTTGTATTTCATTATCACTGCTAACCATTTACTCACAATTGCTAACTTGAGCCTTTGCAAAAATTTTGATGATTAGAGTCATATACTTGATCAATACATATTTATTTAAATATTAGGTAGTTTAGCATGAGTTTATTTCATATGCTTCATACTTTATACTGTGTTTGAGCATGCCAAATGATTCAGCTTATATGTGTGAGGCCACATAACCTTACTTGTTAGTTACTCTTTTCGTCCATTTCATGGTCAGCATTTAATAGAAATGTAATTTACAGAATACAAAAAAGGTTTTTGAAATTGTTTAACTAAATCCACTATTTCATGTAATGGTAAGGGGAAAAAAAAAGATTTTTTTTATAGTTAAAACCTAATTTGTTAAAGCACAAATTATAATTAGTTATCTGAATGTTTCTAAGCATGCAAAGGAGGTAATGATTTTAGTCTTCATGAAATCATAGTAAGAGTTTAGACCTAGTGAGCACCAGTGTCTCACAGCTTATTAGAAATGGGTTTCAAGCATTTAACAATAAGAATTTCCCCTGTTCAGGGACCTGACAGTTTTCTCCAAGGTAACATTTATACATCTTGAATATTTTAGAAAGAAATTGTTTGTAACATATTAAGTTCAAAGCCTGTCCTCATTTCAAATGGATGTTTTTTGAGAGGAAGAGCATAACAACTATTTTACATAATGAAACATGAAAGCATTAATTTCTGTCTGTTTTGATGTGGTGCCTTCAAAGTAGCTCTAATCGTAGAATAAAATGCTGTGGCATACTTTGATTAAAAAATTTGGAATTTTTCAGTTTCTTAGAAAACCTGTTGATTAAACACTAGAGTATTCTTTTGATTCACGTTATCATAAAATTCAGTCTTGTTATTCTCTCCAACAGCTGTGAACTCTTACACTCCTGCCCATTCTGGATGGACTGGGAACTATGTACTTTCTTGGTAGGGAATGATCTGAACTGATACAAAAACAGTGCACAAGCGTTGACAGACAATACAATGAATCAAAATCTGATTATAAAATATCAACATTTTCAGTAAGAAAATACTTGGAGCTACCAACACAGACTAGCTCTTTCTATTGAAATGAGAGTGGTGAAAAATAGTGATGATTGCCAGTAGCATAAAAAATGCTGGGGATGGAGATGAACCAAACAAGGGTTAGTGGTAATATTGGGCTTGGTGGGTTTTAATTTTGTTCTGGAAGGCTAGGTTATTTTAGTGGTAACTTTGCGGTAGGGAGTATTGGCCACAGTACAGAGTGAGCTGTGGAGTTCCTGACCAGTAGTCCCATAAACACTTATTTAGTATCTGGACATTCATCCATATTCCTGACCTCATTTATTCAGTATTGATCCAGCACATCTTGATTGGTTTTGCATCTAATTCATTGAATAATGATATAAAGTTATTAATTTTTTTGAGTGCAGTATAACGTTGTGTATAACATTACTTTTTATGTATTCGTCACTTGTCCTAATTGGCTTGTTGCAAACAGGAAATTTCTGGTACCTTGACTGTCTGAAAAATGCTCTTTGAAGCTCTTAGATGAACTATTTTTGGTTCATGTACACTGTCTTTTACCTGCAGAGTAAGAGCAATCCTCCCTTTTTCCACTTCCAGTACGTCATTCAACATGTGTGATTTATTCAAATTCCAGAGCATAGGTGTCTTCTTAAAACTATAATCCATGTTTCTGAAGTTCAGAGAGGTTTATTTCTTCGTAAACAGTGCAAGAAGTGATTTATCACAGACGATGTCTGAGATCTGTTGCCTCCTAATTAAAACCAGCTCAAACTCTAATACAGTTTTCCTTTTTAAACACTGAGGACAGAACTGTTTTCTGGAAGCACTGTAATGCTGTTCACTCAGCACAGAAGACTTAAATTGGCTCCTTTCACAGTAAGCACCGTGCACAGGGTGCTGGTTTCTTCTATGTTCTTCTGGCTTAATGCTCAGTTGTGATTATAAGAATGACTGTCTTGTTCAGACTGGATTTGTTTGTATTTTCATCACACAAGCTACTCTGAAACTATGCAGCATAACACAGCTAAGGCAGCCTAATTCATCTATAAGGTGATACTGGAGTAAAACCTCCATTTTTCCTAATTTTTGTAGTGTTACCTTTTCAGTAAAATATTTTCATATGTTTTTATCTGGTTTTCTCATATAGCAGTGATGTTGTTTGCTTTGTTATAAAAATTTCAAAAATGAAGACAGATTTGTGTTAAGTTTACCAGTATGTTGGCTTTGAGCACTGTTTATGAGATCTTCAACTTGGTGACCTTTCATTTATAAAGGAATGGTGTTCAGTGTTTCCTCAGCTTTTCTCATCATCATTTCACAAATTTCCATGTGCCAGGCCCATCAGTTAACGTGCGTTTAGATTTTTTTCATGTGTAAAGCTGCAGCATAAGGAGGCATCATAATGTTATTGTTTTAACTAATTTTTTGGGGAAGTAACAGGTTTTTCTCTCTACAGTTGTCGTTGCTACTTTACCAAAAAGCACCCCATCTCCAAATTATCCCTTCATCCTTGTTTTCTTAGGGTTGTAGATGTTCACGTTTTCACACTGTAAATTTCCAGGTTAAAGGTGTCATTCAGTCAGTTTCTAGAACTTCATAAACAGAACAATTTGGTCCTTGAGTGCTTTCTAAAGACCCATTATAGGTTCACACATTTTTGAAGATGCCCATGCTCAAAAATCTGTTCACCACCAACCAGCACAGAGACATTTGCATTGTTCAGTTACACAAAACCAGTTTCAGTGGTAGCCTGGACCATTAATAATTTCTGAAAGTTAATAATGTGTGTTCCTTGTCCCTTGCTATTCTTGTCGTTTCCTAGTGAGCTGAAAACATCCTTTTGCTTTGTGAGATAGGAAGGTATCCGGTACCATTGACTCTTGTACCAAGGCAGATTGAAAACACAACAAAACTGTGCAACTGCTTTTCTTCTGTAGGTAGTTGGTGCTTTATCAAAGACTTCCTGTATGATTAAAAGGTTTCAAATAATCACTGATATTTCTTGATGGATCAAGCATTTCCACTGATTTTTAGTAACAGGCACATTTTAGCAGTAGGCATAGCATTGCCTACAGCTGGTTTTCTCTAAATCTAGATTAGGCAAATCCAAACTAAAAGCAAAACAAAACCTTTGTACAGAAGTTGAATGTTTGGCACCATTTCTCCTGTTAATTTGTTTGTGCTGCATAGCAATGCTTGTTAATTTAGAGGCAGTCAAAGACTGTTGGAATAGTTGGAAAGGTGACCTGTTGTCATAGGTTCTCTATTCACTCATTGTCCTTGAAGAGGTGAAATTAAATGAGCATGACTTTAGCATAGCCAAAAGGAAGGGGAGTTATATGGCTGCTTTCTATGAATATATTAGGATTAAACAGCAGAATGGGAAAAGAGTTCTTTAAAATCAAGAACTGTGTTGAAATAAACCGTAATAGGAGCTGAAAGTTAGGAGATTGTTTCCAAGTCAGAGGCCTGTGTGTCTGTAATAGCTTTTCTGTGGGCCCTATGGGAGCTAACAACCAAAGCACTTTATAGTTGAAGCTTGACTGCTTTGTAATAGGGTTGATAAGATGTGGTTGCCTATAATAGTAGAGGCTATTCCAGTAAATCAAGAGGTTGCTTGTAAATTCATGTTTATAGCTTTGCTTTTTTTCCTTTCAGTCTATATGTGAAGTTTTGTTCTGGGATTCATAACCTGTCCCTCCCCTCCCCCATACTATGATTTTGCAGCTTTCTTGATGTAGCTCTAGCTTTTTTCCTAATTTTGATTGCTGTGACACTCGCACCACCTGTTTCAGAGCAAGCTCGGTCATAACAGTGGAATTTCAGGAACTTGCATGCAGTACCTCATCTGTTGGCAGAGATGTTTCTTGTCATCTTTGCTAACATCAGTTATTTATTTATATTTAAATAAGGTCTTAATGAAACTCAGGTACTTTACGTATCTACGTAGTTATTTTCTGTACAACTGTCTGAACTTAGGTAGCAGAAAAACAATGTATTTCCCTTTGAATAGCATAGAGCTAAAGAACAGGAATGATTTAATGTAAAGCTTCTCTCTCCTGCTACATCACTGGAGAGCCTTTCTCCATAAAATCTTACAATAATAGTAGTTTGGTCTGTGTGCTTTTGTTTATTTACTGAAGTTACTTTGTGTGTATATATGCACATGAAGTTACTTTGTGTGTGTAGATGCACACAAATTTATGTAAACATATAACTATAAAAAATAGCATTTCGTGACAGTGATTATGTCCTGTATTTTTCTATTGATTTTCCATGCTGGTGTCCTGAAGAGGCCTAGAAATGTTAACAGGTACTGTAGGCACAGCAAACTGAGGTTTGTAAAGAAGAGGAAGAATAGAGTATTACATGCTTGTATGCTGGCCAAAAACTGTTTGCAGAGTGTAAAAACTGCATGAACTGACTTCCTTGTGTTTTGGCTACTAATAAAGTGTCCATACTTACATGTCCCTGAGACAACAGGGGTGACACTGGTATCTTTTGTGCAATCTACCCTGTAGTACTTCTGTTTTTCTAAACCAGCGAATACTACTAGCACTAGTGTGTGTCCTATGTCCTGTGATCTCAAGTGCTTTAGAGATAAGAAGTGATTAATCTTCATGACATTTATAATGTAGCCATAATTACCTTAATTTTACATATGGAAAAACTGAAGGAGAAAGGTGTTGACTTAACCATGGTTACACTGGTAAATTGCCCAACCCAAGGTTAGATTGGTCCCACATCCTCTATTTTGAATTGGTAGCCACTACTCTCTGTCTAGGGGATCATAATGACTGCTGTTGTCTTCTGGTACAGTCAGGGCAGATCTGAGATTATACTGCTTGGATTACTTTGAAAGAATTAGAAAACATGGAAAGTTGATGGAGTTCATAGAGTGTGGTTTTAATATGTGTATCCTTGTTAATGCAGTTAATAGCAGAACATAATGTTGATTTCATAGTTGAATTGGAAGTGTAATGTGAGAAGGAATTAAAAAAATCAGCACTTCTCAGTGAGTATAATTTTTAAGTTTTCATTAACATTTTTTTAGTTAACATCTGCATTTTTATTTAACATCCACATTTATGACTTTGCATAAGATGATTTTTTTTTTCTTTTCTGCAAATAAGAACAAAACCTGATGAATTCCCGTTTTGTTAATTCTGTCATGGAGCTTGTTTTTAGTATCTGTTAACTTTTGAAGTTACGATTGTGATTTTGTACTTTTTCAGAAACTCAGTAGGCCTTTTCAACTCAGTTTTCAAAGTTCAATAGGTGTCTCCAGCTTCTGTATCTTTGTCTCTTAATTCCTTTTTCAGATTTGAACCTCACTCCCTTAGAAAATGCATAGTAAAACTGATTGTTGTAACAGACGTGTCTTCTAAATCCCTATCACTAGAGAGTGCTCTCATCAGAATGAATTCAGGAGTGTGTCATGGTCAAGATTAAATTGCAGCAGCAGTTACAGTAATGAATATGTTTGAGCGATGTCTTTAGGTGTCCATTGGGATTCTTGACTTTTGAATTTATTTTAAACCCAAACACTTGATGTTTCTTTTTCTGCTTTTGTGACTGCAGTTTTAAATAGAAAACCTTCCACTTTGCAGGCAGTGCTCAGAATGTGACCAGGCAGGTAGCAGTGACATGGAGGCTGATATTGCCATGGAAACCTTACCAGATGGGACCAAAAGATCAAGGAGGCAGATTAAGGAACCAGTGAAATTTGTTCCTCAGGATGTGCCGCCAGAACCGAAGAAAATTCCAATCAGAAACACGGTAAATGATGGTTGAGTTGTTTTTATGCAGCTCATACTCATAATAATTTTGTCTTAAGATGACTTACGTTTTTGACCTTTTAAATTGGGGGATGTCAATTGGATATTTTTTTTTTTTCCCCTTTCCTTTGTTTAATGCCTTGTTACTTGTGTTGAGTGTATAGTTTTGCTAAAGTAAAAAGCTGGGAAACATAGTACTGAACTGAAGCTTTTCCTTTTACCTGGGTCACAAAGTCCTCTCTTAATTGCAGAGAAAGAGAAAATTCAGTTTGTACTTAAATTTAGCCTTTACAGCTGTAGTAGTAAGGACACTTTTGTTCTTGTATGCTAAGATTTAAATATATCAAATTACCATTTACAGCTGTAAAGTAATTAGTCATTTCCTTATGTACAGGCAACCTACTGATAGACTGCGTATTTTGTGACTGTCACAAGACCCTTTTATTTCAGTTTGTTTAACTTACTAATCTTATTGTATGTTTTCTCAAATTTTCCTGGTTGATAGTTTTCAGAGAAGAGAGGCTTTCATTTACTCGTGAAATATTTAGCATCTTTCTTTCATTTAAAAGTAGAACATTTTAATTAATCATTGTGTTCTGATCGCTAAAGTTTTGCTTTCCTACTTGCTCATTTTAATGTGTGACGTGTCATGTCACCTGTGAAATGTATATGAAGGTATCAAGGGATTTTAGGACCAGTTTAAGGAATGAGTAGTGTTCCCATGACCCTTTGGACATGAGTAATGATTGTGTATAAACTGGTGGCTTATCTTTCAATATACTTCTTAGTATTTGGAAATACTTAAAACATTCTCACATTAGGGTTAGACATGTTTTCTCTCATGCAGCACACGTTTATTTTCCTTGCAGAGCTTTCCAGAATTTTTATGCGTGTACTAGCAGATACATACTTTACCTTTCTGAGTATAGACTAATAAGATTAACCAAGTATTTTCCTGGCCTAACCTTGAATGTTTGCTTTAGTTACATTTCAATATATTTTAACTGTTTGGGCCACAGCTTTCATTTACCTAATGGCTTCCTTTTCCTGGTCTGTGACTAAGAAGAACTTTAAGAGTGACTCAAGCCAAAATGATTAATTCATGTCAAATTATTAGGAGTGCGGGTAATCTAAAATTAAGTTTTGTGAATAATTGAGAACCTCTGTGCAGTGGAGAAACTTTTTTTTCCTTTCTTCATGTCATTGAGGGAAAGTTCCTTTCTTTCCAGCGTGTAAGAGCATAGGTTCTTAAAGCTATCTGGGTAGATTGCACTGACTGTTGAAATACTATTGTTCACATAGAAAGAAAAATCTGGTGTTCGTGTTCACTGAACCTTTTGCATCACCTGTCCCCTTTTTCTTCTGTGTCTTCTCTCTTCCTTTACCTAAGGTAGTAGTGTGAGGAGTGGGAATTCATGATCTTGGGACTTAAGAGAACTAGAAGTATTACAGGAAAGACATGCATAGTAGTTATAGACAAAAGTGTGATCCAAGGCATTGTACAGAAATGCATAGGAAGATACAATTGGTTTGTTCTAAGGCCCATGTAATAACTGCTGGGCTGCTTCTGTGCTAAATGGAGAGATGTCTAATTGCTCTGAAGTGTTCCCCTCATGCAGTGACACTATGATGTGCTGCACTAGTGGTGTGTTGGTGATTTGGCACCTCATGTGTTGAAAAGTGTATCTACACACATTGTGGTATGTAACATAAAGACTAAATTTACTTTGAGTGGACTACTATATTGGCATGGTACAGCATTACACTGTGGAAAAATTACTGCTACCAGTCTTAAGAAAGACTTTGTTCCTCTGCTTGAATTGTTAGACTGTCTTATTGTTAGGCTGTCTTCAGTGTTTTTTGCCTTTCTACAAGATGCAGACTTGCAAAGTAACATCTTTGCAACCCTGTGAGCAGGGCTTCTCTGTCAAAGTTGTTATTCCCACTCTTAGAGCTTTCCCATGGCCGACAGATTGTTGGGTTGTTTGTTTTTTCTATTTTTTCAATTTCCTGTCTTAAGTACTTAACTATGGAAGAGAAGGTTCACACCCTTGACACCTGCTGGATTTCTTTCTCTGCACTAGGCTGAATTCTTTTATTTCAACTCTTTCATGACCTTGGGGCGTTTAAACTGTATAACAAAATTAAGATAGCGCACCTCTGAATGCTTACCAGATACTTCCTGGCAATATGGGATTTCCCCCTCACGTTTGTTATGAATCCTGGAAAGCTTATGTTAGTTTTTGTTGCTTGTTTGTTTTGACTTGCCTTTTATAGGAAGAGAGTATTTTAAATTTATTAGGTCTGGGGCTCTCTGAATATTTGAGAGGAAAAAAACTGACTTTTGAACAACTTCTCAAATGAAGTTCAGTCTGACTACATAGAGAACATCTGTGTGGTGCTTTTCACCAGATTATTTGTTCTGTGCTTTGTGTCCTCACTGCTCAAATACTTATAAATAGTTTAAGGAAGAAAAAAAAATTAAAACTGAAAATATACTTCACAATCCTCTCTTCTCAGTGTGTTGTGTATCTCTGGGCATGTTTTATTGAATCTAGTTTTGTTTTGGAAGGAATTGGCAAGCCTGCTTAGCTAACAGTGTGTAATCAGCCTTGCTTACAGTTATAATCAACAAGTGCAATTATAACTCTTAATTGTGTATCTGTTGCTCTTAAGGGATTTCCATTTATTTTGCATACATTTATCTTGAATTGATATAATTGAAAGAAGGTTTTTTTTGCAACACATCTGAAGAGAATAGAAAGTGTCTTACATGTTTGGATTTCATTGTTGTGGTTTGTCATAGGTAACTCTTCATTACTTTGTTGACAGAAATTGTGTGTAAGCCCCAACGTTTTGATAAAATTGCATTAGGTGTATACCGATGACAAAAATAGTTGGGATCTGTAAGAAATTTTATACAAATGCATATGGTTAAGCCTAAATGCTAACTATATTAAAAAAAAAAAAAAAAAGATAAATTGTACTTTCAGACTTGATATTTTGTTATCAGCTTCTCCTGCAGCTCCTATTTGGTAACGCTGATTTCAGAGATGATAAAGGAGACCCTCCTTTCATGAAAAAAATGCTTTTTCCTTATTCAGAGTAATTTTTTTTTCCCCTAATTTCTGTCTCCTTTGGGTATACAATGAAGGGTTAAAGACTCTTTCAGAAGTGTTCATAATTTTACCATTACTCCTCATCTAATTTAAGGATGTGTACCTAATCCTGCAGAATTATATTTCTGTTACTATCCTTCAAAGCTGCTGAATTCACCAATGACGTGGATTTTCTCTTCCACTGGTAAATGTTTCTTTTCAAGAAAATTGTGGTGTTTTTTCCCACTCTTTAAATGTAACCTTAGAATTTGTTTGCATTATTGCAAAAAATATTAAGGAGATTTGATTTTAACTTCTGCAACCTGTACCATTTCTCCTCTTTCTTTTCCCTTACAAACTTAACAGTTCTTTTCATGTTTTTCTTAAGTCTCTTAAGTATGTAGTCCTACATCTGTGTCAGGATAGTTTTAGCAGAGATTTAGAGTAGGATGCTCTGCATATTTTGCATTAGGTACTTTTTCTTCATACCTTCAGTCTACTTGTGCAAAAAGCTTGGCTCCTAATTGATTAATGGCTGGGAAGGGCTGTGAGGAATATTCATTTTCCAACTCATTGAGAGGAGGGCGAGACTGTTTAATGAAAACACAAGTTTTCTCCTACGGTCTACATTGGTCAGGTCTTAATTCAGTCTAATGTTACATTAGAACGATGACAGCTGGAGACATGTGGCAACTGGAGTACACAAGTGTTCACAGCTTCTACGCGGTCTTAGAGACTCGGCTTCCTTTTATAATTTGGAAGTTTGAGAGAAGTGAGACTGAACCAGGTTATTCAGAGTCAGGAGACTGCTCCTCCCTTGTACAGTTTTCTGTGTAAGTTGTGTGTCAGGGCAGTATTTTGCACCCTAATGCTGTACAGGTTTTTGAAACTGCCCTGTGAGTGCTCTGTAAATTGTGTGTCAGGGCAGTATTTTGCACCCTAATGCTGTACAGGTTTTTGAAACTGCCCTGTGAGTGCTCTGTAAATTGTGTGTCAGGGCAGTATTTTGCACCCTAATGCTGTACAGGTTTTTGAAACTGCCCTGTGAGTGCTCTGTAGTATTTCCATCCCTTAGCTTTCAAATACATCGGAGGATATTTATATAAATAAGATCAGCTTTTTAAAATAAAAAGGGAGGACAGAGTCCAGCCATTTGGATTGCATTGTTTTGGAGAGAACACCTGTCATACTGTGTATGAAAACGTAACTGAAGTTTAAAAGACCTTTCTGATTTTAAACTTCCCAAGAAAAACCATGTAAGAGAATATACCTAAGCACACAAGTGTAGATTTAAACATGCCAGAATTACACTCTGAGTCAATGTCTATACAAATTATAAATAAATATAAATAGACAAGACATTAGCCTTTATACTTGAGCCTGTTGTATAAGGGCTGTATTTGTGGGCAGAGTTTAATTCATCATTTATGCTTATACACTTTCAGCAGTGCATAACTCCTTAAACTAGCTTTATTGAAAATCTCTAATCTTTATAATTCCAATTTCATACTTGCATAAGCTTCACAAATCATTATTTCTGCTGCTAGCTGATTTCATAGAAATTAATAGCTAATAGAAATCAATAGCTGATCTGCATAAACCAGATATCTATAAACATTTTTTAGATTTTTTTTTTTAATATCTGAATAAATTTTTAAAGATTTTTCAGAACTGTACAATTTTTCGTATTGGATATTTTTATTATAAATATTAAGTGTACAATGGTTTGTTTATTTGGAAAAAATCTTTAGAGAGATATGAATAGTGCTGTAGAGCAGTAAGTTGAGTGTTTAATGCTTTTCATCTGCTCAACTATGTATGTTCAGCTTTTCAGAGATGACCCATATTTACAAAAACAGCTTTCAACAAATTGCCAACTTATTTTGCTGTTCTCAAATAAAAC